ATACCCAACTAGAGGTAGATATTTGGGTTGAATATCTGCCCCTCGAGGTTCACTACACTGGCTCCCCTGGGTCCTTCTAGTGGCAAGATAGTTTTACTTGTGTGACAGTCCATCTTACTTCTTTCAGACTTAGGACTCGAAGTTTCTGAGAAAAAGTACGTTCCTTTCAGTCAATTCGGGGGTTTCTTATAAACCACAAAATCTAAAAACTGGGAAAAGGTTAATCTGATTTATAAACTAAAGCAGTATTTCCCTGTCCCTTTACCTGCCTACCCTTAACCCAACTGACTCAGAGGTGAGTCTGTCCTTTTCTCAAAGAAACTTGAAAAGAATGTATCAGCATTCTTATCCAGTGCCTGTTTTCTTATCTCATAGACCCTAAAGTACGAAGTTCTTCCTTATGACTCAGACAGATCAAGTCTGCTAAAATTTAAGTAAATCCCTCCTTATTAATCTTCTGCCAAATGAAACACAGTCTTGTCACTAACAGTGGTACTACAATTAACAATAAGGGCAAACATGTTTCGAGTGTCATGTTACTTTAAATGGAACTTTCTTAGACATTAAAAACATTTTGTTTTTAACTTAAAGACAAGTTGACTATGATCCTAGCAGCAATAATGTGAGTCAGTCACCTCTCACCCATTTATTTCAAATTGGTTCTTAAATACTTTTTACAATGTTCACAAGCTTTGAAGATGGTATGCATGTTCTACAACCTTCTTTGGAATTATAATCCCTCCTAGGGGACCTATATATATGTGGGCATGTATATATCTTTCTAAAAATCATAATGTTTCTAAGTGGAAACATTTAATATAAATGCACCACTTCCAGGAATGATAGAATCTAATTCATCCTGTGCTGTGTATGCATTCCCTCTCTCTCCCTGAAGGTTGATGTATTTAAGAAACTAAAGTTTAAAACTATGAGAAATCCCTGGGGAGGGTTAGAATTGAAGGGGAAAGGGGAGCCTGGCACAGAAGCGGCCTGGGTGCCAGGGCGGAAGTGCATCTCTACTACTTTCCGTTTCTCATAGACTAAAAAAAAAAAAAAAAAAAGAAAGTCTTTTCAGAATTTTCTCTTCTTTACTTTTTCAAAGAGTCCATTTTTAAAAAATTTAATTCTTGGTTAACTATCTATTTTGTTTGTTCTATCCTTGTTGCCATTGATGTCTGTCTTCGAAGACCTTTAATATTCTTCTCTCTTGTTTCTTTGTTCTTTCCTCTGAAATTCTTTTTCTAGTTTATCAAACTGAATACTTTGCTTATTCGTACACATTTTCTCCTTGATAAATGAGTTTAGAGTCATCAATGATCCTATGAATACCACTTTGACAGTGTCCTGAAAATTCTGGTACTTTCAGTTCTAAGAATTGATAGTTCTCTTCTGATTCCTCTTTATATGGTGGGTTTTTATGCTGTCAATGGGAGGTCAAAATTGCGCTTTTCTTATCTCCAAGTGACTGGGGCTTTAATGCTGAAAGCAACAGATGCCAACCCTACCTAGAATATTACAAAGAGTCTTCAGGCCCTTGTCTTGTACTGATTCCTCAATATCCCTGGTGGGAAAGTGAATTTTGCGATAAAAGTAAAGTTGAAACTGCATATATACTCTGTATCACAGAAGGACATATATACCATGATGTTTGCTGCACTTTTAAAAATAATAAGATAATAGAAATCAATATCAAGATAGAAGAATAATTTCAAAAATATGATGTTGAGTGAAATGATAAGTTCCATAAGTATATGCATTATGTGAACCAGAAAACAACAAATTATTTCAAAAATACAGGTTGAACATTTGAGTACCCCTTATCTAAAATGCTTGAGATCAGAAGTGTTTCAGATTTGAAATTTTTTTTGGATTTTGGAATATTTGCATTATACTTACCAGTTTAGCATCCCAAATCCAGACATCTGAAATCCAAAATGCTCTGCTGGGTGTTTCCTTCACATGCCATGACAGCGTTCAAGCAGTTTTGATTTTGGAGCATTTTGAACTGCAGATTTTCTAATTAGGGATGCTCAACTTGTACAATACAAAACAAAATCATAAAACAATAGTATATATTCTATACTACTCTATGTTTCTTATGGATTGAAAGAAAGAACAATGAAAATATAGCAAAACAAAAACGTGCTAAATGAGGGTAGTTGGTACATGCATATCTTCTATGTAATTTGTGTACCTGTAGAGATTGGAGTGTATTTAATATATATTTAATAATTTTAAAATTAAAGTCTACCACCATTATTTTTTGTGTCAATCTCTTTTTTAGAGCAAAAAAAAATGCTCTAAAATCAATTCTAAGCCATTTTGGATAAGTTTGCAGTTGTATATTTAATTTATACGCATAGTACACTTATGTTGTAGAATTTTTCCCTTTACAAATGTTACAAAAAAATAGAAACCAAAGCAAATCCTTCCGTGGTCCTGGGTCTTGGGCACACTGCCTCACAGTCACTTTGTGAATATAGTGAAGCAAAAGAAAAAAAGCACAGAGTCAGAAGTTAAACCAACCTCAGGCCAAGCCATCCATGCTTGCTATCCTGAGTGACCTGAGATAAACATTTTACCCTCTGTGTGCCTCAGTTTACTCATCTATTAAGCAATGGCTAAATGTAAAAGTTGCTGGAAGAATTAAAGATAATTTAATCATGGTGCAAAGCAGGTGGGAAGTATTTCATCAACAGTAGCTAGTACTAACCTTACTAGACGTTTCCATAAATGCAATTATATCTATTTGTATCAGAGATGATCTCTAAAGGAAATAAAAAAGATGTTCTTCCTAAAAAAATTAATGGATACCATAAGAAAAAAATAAGTTAAAGAATTAATGAAAAGGTTGGGATAAGACATTTAGTTTAGCATTGTTTAATTTGTAAGTAATTTAAAACAACCATTTTATTATGTGGGTGTCTTCTGTGAGACAGGGGCTCAGACAGAGCCTGATGAGGATGACTTGTCTGTTCCACAATGTCTGGATATTCTGCTAGAGAGACTCAAAGGCTAGGAGTGAATGCTTTAATGTTACTTTATTTTCAAAGTGATTTTGCAGAATTTTTTTTTAAACGAGTCAACTACTCTAGTGCACTTAAGAGCTAAAATAGTATAAATGACCATGAAAACTGATAGCTGCCAAGCGAAGATCAATCAAAAATTAACCCAAATCTTAAATAAAAAGGTTGATTTTGACATAGGGTGTTAAGAACTTGGCAGTTATATAAGGTGGTAAGTTTTATTTGTAATTCTTGGCAGAATATCTACTATCTTACATGCAATTGCTTCATTTATCACTATATATATATGTATCAGTATTTTATATACAGAAAAATCAGGACACAGAAAACTAAACTGAGCTCATATTCTACTTTTTGGAAACAGACTATGCAAGCACAACTAAAACACTCATCTGGTTTGCCTAGGCTTAATTTCTATTTTTGCAGCTAATTAAAACTCAGATTTTCCAATAAGTCTGCCCACTGATAGATGGCCACTTTTTTAGCCATCCTCGGGTGGCTGACTCACCATGGTTCACAAGCCTCAAGTTTGTATGTAAAAGAAAATGGAGAAACACCGAGTTGTAAGCAATCAAAATGCCATCAGAAACTAACAACATGGTTTAATTAAAAAAAAAAAAAAAAAGCCATAGTAATTCATTTTTCTCCTTTCCCCTCTTCACACAAAGAGTAATACAGAGAAGCAATTAAAATGAAGTCTCCTTTTGCCCTCAGGGTGTCTGACTAGAACATTTACCAATAAAATAATTAGCTCCCAAATTCTCATTTTTTCCCCTTTGTCATACTGAAATTGCTTCTGGTCTTTCTTTAGAAACAAAGGACTGTCTTGTCCCTTTAGTTAACCTTAGGCCTCTAAGAATATTAGTAATCTAGTTATTCTGTCAAAATAAGACCAGGTGGTTACAAGGCCATTGTCACTATTTGTTAAGACCTGGGGTAGACTGGAAACCAGCTTAATTTTGTGTGTTGTACTGGACTTGTATAACCTCTGAGACGGAGTGATTGGCCTGAAATTAAAGAGGAGGGGGCACATGAGTATACCCGCGACCACAGACTGCTCTTAGAACTTACTCCTGCCAGGAGGAATGGCAGGAGGATTCACTGGGCACAAAGATTTTAATGCTGCTGTAGAACTTTAGCATGTATCCTACTTCCTGACCATAGTCGTGCCTCAGAAGGAAACACACCTACCACCTGATCCATGAACAAACACTGTACTGCTCGCCTATAGAGACTGCAACCACAACACAGGCATCACCCTACTTCAGCCAAGAAACCACATGAAAATATTACATATAGCACACATGCACAGGCTCAGGACTGTGGACACACGAAACAGCAAGTCAAAATGTACACAAATGAAAAGCAAAAAAGAAACCACGTGTCACTTCCAAATGACTCATGATCACTCTCATACATGTCTTTCTGATGCGGCAAACAGGGACATCTGGTAAATTCTGGACTCAAAGGCTAAAGGTAAAAGTTTGAATGTTACTTTGTTTTCAAAGTGATTTTGCAGAATTTTTTTTAAGAGTCAATTGCTCTAGTGTATTTAAGAGCTAAAGTAGTATAAATGACCATGAAAACTGATAGTTACTAAGTGCAGATCAATCAGAAATGACGAGAAATCCCTAAAATAATGATATAATGCACATTTTAAACAAAAATGTTGATTTTGACATCACTGTACAAAAACACTGGTGAGGTTTAAAGCAGCTATAGACCCATATGCAAGAGCTCAAGATGGCTTAGGAGCAGACGGAATGGGAGCTAGAACTCTATCAGGAGTTTGGGGCAGATAAAAGTGAGCAAGGTGAATGAAATGTTCAACCACAGAGTGACACCTACACAAGACAACCTGAGCACCCCTGGAAAGAAGACCCTGCCCCCTAGACTCTGGTGGACAGTCCACGTTTAATCCTCACCCAGCAAGCACAGCAGCACAGAGGAAAGGAAGAGCGAGAGCGTTCTTACTGTAGCACATGGGAGTGGCTGAGATCTTTCATGTCTGAGTCCTCACAATAGGGAGCTATGGTTCCCAGACCACTGTCACTCAGCATGCGTCTCCGCAGAGCAGGGTTCCACCAGTCTGACATCCTGGGAGAAAGAAGGGCACCAGACAGTGATGATTCAAAGTCAGTCACATGACTCCGTCTACACTCTCCCAAGATGCTTTCTTGTCTCTAAGTATGAGAAGAAAGATTAATCTTTATGGGGCATTTACCAAGTACTTCACATTTACTATTTCATTTATTTATCTCAACAATCATGAACTATTTGTGTGATGCTGCCCTTTCTTCAGATGATTTCAAAATTAAGTCATTTTAAATATGACATGAACAAGAAGTAAGAAGTAAGGAAACTGGAAAAAATGCAGATTCAAAAATAACAAAGCCTATCCTTCCTCATTGCTTCCCTGTTCCTGGTTTATTACCAGAGGGTATAACTGACAAGAAATAGCAGAGACTGATTCAAGTTCTAGTGGATTTTCAAGCTACTTTACTTTTGGAGCTAGAGCTCACAGAGGTCTACCTGGCCCAAAGTCATTCCTTTGGGCCATTATGTGTCATGGAGAGAATAACTGAGAGGACACAGACCAACCAGGGTGACTTGGCAGAGTGAGTCCACTTCTTCCCAGACCAAGAGCTAGAGACTGGGTCTGTTGGGTGGAAGAATACCCAGACTTCAACACCTGTTGCTTCTGCAGTAGAGCATGGTTTCACACCTGCTTTCCCAACTGATGTGCCTAGTACATGACCTGCAAAGGTGGCCTTCTCTACTACAGGGCTTCCAGGGTTACATCAGGCCACTCCTTAGGCCTGTCAATCTTTCCCTCATGCCAGAACAGTCCTGGTCATGGTCTCTGTCCTGAGCACAGCCTGCGTCTGTTTTCATGACCACTTATGCCTCTCTCAGTCCCCCACAGACTCAGTACACATCATGGACATCAGTTGACCCTGGCTGAGTTGGAGATACAAATTGCAGCAAAAGACTAATAAAGTGAATCAAGTGAAAAGAAGGAGACAAAAAGGAGGGACACCCCAAGTAAATATGCCTGTGTATATTGTAGGAGTATGTGCACACAATTTTCATTTGTTATTTGGGTACTCTGTGTGTACTTTCTAGAGCAATCCTTATTTCAGCTCTTTAGCCCCCATATACAAATAAACCACCGATATTCATTATACTTTACAAGGGCACGGATTCCTATCTTTTTTTATTTTTCTACTATTGTTCCCCAGCTGCTTTCACCAGTACCTGGAACACAAAAAGCTCTAAGTAAATATTTTTGTATTGTTGAAGTAACAATATGAATAATAGTTTGGTGGTGCAAGGTGGTGGTTAGCATGGGCTTTGACACCAGATAACCTGGTACTAAATCTCAGGTTTTCTATTTATTCTCTGTGCAATACTGGGTGAGTAACATACCCCTCTATGTCTCAATTTTCTTGTCTATGAACTTAGGATAATAGCAGCAAAAAATTTGCAAGGTTCTTGTGAAATAATGATGAGTATTATTTTAATAACATAATTATTGAATGTCTATCAAATGCCAGTAACTATTTTAAGTGTTTTACCTGTATCAATCTATATCATCTTCAAGCAATTCTCTGAGTATTATTATTTTCTGCATATTGCAAATGAAGACTTAAGCACAGAGCGCTTAAGGTGACTAAGTCACTATGAGGTGTTCAAGTCACTATGGTGTGGTGGTGGGGATACAGAGAGGCACAGTGCATGGCTCCTAACAAGTGCTTGATATGTCACAGTTCTTATTATAAAACCTATCCATCAGCCGGGCTCGGTGGCTCAGCCTGTAATTCCGCACCTTTGGGAGGCTGAGGTGAGTGGATTGCCTCAACCCGCAGGTTTGAGACCCACCTGGGCAGCAAGACCTCATCTCTACAATAAATCATAAAATCAGCTGGGCGTGGTAGCGCGCGCCTGTAATTACGGTTACTCGGAAGGCTGAGGCGGAAAGATCACTGGAGCCCAGCAGACGAGGCTGCAGTGGCCAGGAGCGGCCACTGCACTCCAGTTTGGGTGACCGAGTGTGACTCCAACTCAAAAAAAAAAAAACCTATTCATCTTGGGCAGCCTGAAATAGTGAAGGAGAAGAGGAGGAGGAGGAGGAAGAGGTGAACAGCTGTTGCATCACCTGTGTCGAGTTTTCCTTTGAGTAATAGAATCACTGCACATGTATATGCACAAATGCAAGGACTCCAGGGTTGTCAGGAGGTGTTCGTGTGATGGTAAAGAAGGCTCAGTCATGGAACAAAGCTGGTTGGGAAAGAATATTTCTCCACAATCATTTGTGAGACAGACTTACAATGGAATCTATTCCACCCCACTCAAAGGGAACAAGAAAGTCTACTTTTGAAATCGTTCCATGTCATTAGAATGTCAAGCCCAAAGCCCAACCATACATGGACATCAACTGCAGCCAGCCTCACACTAGGAACCAGTGTCACCTGTGGCTGGCCTCACACTGGGAACCAGGTCACTTGTGGCCAGCCTCACACTGGGAACCAGTGTCACCTGTGGCTAACCTCACACTGGGAACCATGGTCATTTGTGGCCACTGGGAAGTGACATTCCCCCGTGGCCAGCCTCATCCTGGGAGCCAGTGTTTCCTGTGGCTGGTCTCACCCCGGGAAGCTGCAAGGAGGGGAACACTCACCCTGAGGCTTGCTCTACCACCAGATCAGGCATGCCCGGAGGTGTCCCCACTGGCTGTGACACCATATCTGGGTCCAGAATAAAAATCTCATCTTGAGAAATCTCCATCACAAAGTGCAAATGTTCCTAAGGAAGAGAAATAAGTATCAGGTGACTGAAAAGGTGCTCTAATCCACCATCTGCAAAATAACAAAACAAAGCCCTCTTGGTGTAGGAATAATGAAGCCCATGCAACATGTCACATGATCACAGCATACTGTCAGAAGACTTGAACAGCAGGCAGTCCTCCTGAAGCAACGCTGTGGCTGGCAGTGGGCAACAGAGAGAGAGAGCAGTTCCCTGATTCAAGTTTTCCAGTAGACCAGGATTATGGTGGATATAACTGGAAATGGTCTTGCCTCCTCTTTTCCCACATACCATCAAAGAAGAAACACGCCCATGTGCTACTTGATCCAGCAGGAGTGGATGAAGCTGGGACTTCTGCCCTTAGGCTCTGGTCAAAACTAAGTGGAATGGTTAACAACTGACTTTATCATGGGGCTCAATATTATACTTTTATTTTCCTAGGAGAATTCAGACAGTGAGAAGACTGTCAACCCCGGGCAAAAGCATTTTTTCCTCATTACTGAACTCTGGAGATTGATGAAACTAAGCAGTCTAGAAATACACTTGGGGCCTCAAACTCGCTAACCAGAAATGAGCTTAAGAAGGCATAACATCTGGCTAAGACGAAGTAAAGGCACCTGTGTGAATGTAAATGTGAAGTGCAGGCTGGGAATAATACCTACAAGTCAAGTCATTTTCTGTATTCATTTGCAAGGTCAAGCCATGCCTTGTTGAGTTCATAACTCATAAACCATGTGAAGACAAATATGGGGTGCCCAGCTTAGCTTATGAATACCATTCCAAAATTTGTAGGCATTTCAGTGTTTTGGTTACAAAAATGTATAAAACGAACTACTAATAACATATATTAACTTGAACATTTTTCACTTTCATAAGTAGGTCAAAGAGCACTTACCTGAGATCTGTCTATTCGATAAAAGCGATCAGCAGAAGTTGCTAGGGAAAAAAAAATGCATTTGGCATTCAGGATGTTCTATGATTTGGCACCAAACTTATAATCTTCTCTTCTACTATGCGAGTCAGAAGCCTTAGATTGCAGCTGTGCTAGACTACTGGCCAGTCCCTAACTCAGCACTGATGCCTCTGCCACTGCTATTCCAAGGCTTAGAAAGTCCTTCCCGCTGCTTCTGCCAGTTAAATCTTATTTGTTTTTAAAGGATCAACTCAAATACTTCTGCTTCTGGGAAAACTTCCTCAGTTCCAACTAACCTAGCCCAGACAGAATGTATTGTTCCTATCTTCATGCACATTTACATTTTATTTAAACTTTATAGAGAAACTATCTTCACAGATAACTATGAGACTAAGAGACCTGCCTCTTTAAAGGTCTCCGTTCCGTTTATTCTTTTATATCTCCCAAAGTTACCATGGGATCTTAAGCAGAGCTAGGATTCGATATGTATTTATCAAGTAAATAAAGCTGTATTTAGATGGACTTTCTGAGGAAGTGCTTCCATTTTAGAAAACAGCTGGAAGACTCAGGCAGGGAACCCATCTGGTCTTACGTGAATCACTTCACCTTCAAACTGCATCCTTAGAGTCATGTCTGAAGAAAGCCAAGACAGGCAGGCAGACAGCCAGATAGAAGAGAGAGAGAGAGAGAGAGAGAGAGAGAGAGAGAGACTAGATAGATATTTTAAGCATTTCCTAACAGGGATTGGACTGCATCTATAATTTTAAGGGAAAAAAAATTCCAAATACCTAATTTTGAGTTTCTAGAAATTATTTTGATTATTCGAGACCAGCCTGGGCAACTTAGTGAGACCTCATCTCTACAATAAATCACAAAAACTAGCTGGGCATAGTGGCATGCGTCTGTGGTTCCAGCTACTTGGAAGGCTGAGGTGGAAGGATTGCCTGAGACCAGCAGGTCAAGGCTGCAGTGGTCGTGAGCATGTCACTGCACTCCAGCCAGGGCAACAAGAGTAAGACTCCAACTCAAAAAAAGATAAAAAGAATTATGTTTTTCCTCACTTAAATCTATCTAATGAAACACAAATATTACAAGTAGATTTCCTATGAAAGAAAGCACAAGGAAGGCTGAGGCGGAAGGATCACCTGAGCCCAGCAGGTCGGCACTGGGATGGCCGTGAGCATATCACTGCACTCCAGCCTGGGCAACAGAGTGAGACTCCAACTCAAAAAAAAAAAGAAAAAGAAAAAGGAAAGAAAAAAAAGCACAAGAGAGAAAAACTCAAAATACAAGTAATCATTTAAAACTCACAAATATTTAATGAGCAGCTTCTTCCCAAAGAGAAATGAGCTAAGAAACAAGTCAGTAATGGGTCTTGCTCCTAAAAAGTAAGACTAGAGTAAAACCTGCCTTGGAGAGAGTTACCCTACTTTGTCTTTTAAACCATGACAACAATCGCCTTTTAAAGGTTTCTAATAAAACTATAGAGTAAACCTAATATCTGGGTTAAGACTACTATTCACACTTACAGTTTTATCTAAGACTTTAGATAGAACATAAGTATTTTCATAATTGTCTTAAATGTAAATTGTTCCTTTGTGATTCAGGATTAAAGAAGCTAAAGGAAGATTCTCAGAGACAGTTGATGAACCATTAATGAAAACCAGCACCATGATTTATGTGGTTGGCTCTCATACAGAGACACAGGGCACTGCCTTCATAATATTGTTCATACACTCACACATCCTGTCATACTCATATCCATGCCTATGTCCTCTCAAATGCACACAGAGATTAACAAATGAGGTCTACGATGAGAACTACATCTTCACATGGATAAGGGAGAGGATGGATAGTAGATACATGGGGTGGTGCAGAGCAAGAATGGACAGAGGAGAAAACGCATTGCAATACGGGAATAGGATGGAAGCAGAGCATTAAGTTACATCTGGGAGAGAGATGTTTGAGATGAAAAATGGACTCATTAAACAATCATAAAATAACTAACCTCTTAAGCACGTAGCATGCCATGCTGAGCAGGCAGATTTAAACACAACTGAAATTTTCTACCCTTTTTGCAAAAATGTATACTTTATACGAAATGATGGTCTCGTAAAAATAATACGAAAGATCTCAACATACAAACAACATAGAAATTAGTACCCACTCTATTCTTATAGAATCCAGCAACTGTACTGGCATTCATTAAGCTAAAGTAAGCACTCAATAGGTTTTAGGAAAAGGGGGCTGATGGAAGCAAAACATCAGCTTGAGGGTGCTGAGTTCAGCCTGCGTTGACTAACTTGCTTTGAGGGAAATGACTACAGGAAAAGGAGCTTGAGATGCAAATGCCAGTCACATGGAGTCATGGAAGTCTTCTGAATAATCTTCTGGAAAACTAGAGTCCACTCTACCCATCAGTACCTTGCTCTGCAACCTCCCCAACCCCTCCAAGAAATGCAGAAACACTCACCATCTAGGAAGCACCACCGAGGAGAGAGCCTCTGAGCTGAGAGAGCCCTGGGGAAGGAGGTTTCATGGTCCTGGAAAGAGACACACACATTCTAGTGGCTCCATTTGGGACATTCTGCCATATCACCTATTTCCAGGATTGGCCATCCTTTCCTAAACAAAGCACTGGTGAGAAGACTAAATCACATTTTTTTCCCCTAGAAACAGAAACAAGGGCTCTGCTTTGAAAATATTTCACATAAAACTTTGAAGAATAACTCCCTCATAAAATTTCCAGGAGTTTTTCAATTATTCTACTAAGCATTTATGAATTATCTAACTTGGGACCTTCATTTCCCTTGAGGAATTTCTTTTATTTTTTTCCTTTTGTTAAGCCAAGGAGCTAGTGACAGCCAACTGTCATTGACATTTTAGTTCTCTACATAAGTCTAAAACATCGTCACAGAATAAGAAAGATTCAAATATAGTACTGGTCACATAGTTCCTCTAGTACGTGAGTAAAACAAGAAGCCATCCATTGCAGGGGTCATTCATCTACATGGAAACAAAGAAAATCATCCTCACATGCTGAAGTCCTCTCCATCCTCAGTCTTCACCACTGTACTACAGAGTAGTAGACAAGGAGAAAAAGTAGTGCCAGGCTGCCCTAAGACAACATCATTCTGTCCAACACTGGCTCAACCTGCAGGTAATTATCTGCCTTAGCATTCTCTGGGTTTCTCACTTCTAAAACCCCAGTTATCCCTCTACTATTTCACATGAAGACCATCTAAGATAAGCAACCTCATTCTTTCCTCTAGGCTTAGACAAAAAATATGTAGCTCGTCTCCAAAGCTAACCACTTAATATAGCCTCTGGACTACCTTCCTCTGTTAATACTTTAACATTTATTTAACATTCCTCTGTTAATACTTTAACATTTATTTAACATTCCTCTGTTAATACTGTAACATTATTAAAATCTACTCTCCCACCCTTGAACTCATTGAGTCTTCTGTTTTCAAAGGTTCTCTCTCCCCCTAAAATAAATTCCCCTCAGCTGATCCTGCTGCTTTTGTTGACAGTTTTCCTAATCTCTCCTTCCTTGCCCTGTCAAACTCCTGAGGCAGGCATGTACTTAGTTTCCTCCTCATTCCAACTCTCGTTTACCCTCTTCACCCATGACCTCAGAAAGCCTGGCTTTAGATATGCCAGTCTTTGAAAGCTGCTCTTCCAAGAGATGCCAGGAGCAGTTTGTTTCCTGACTTAATATTACTCTCAGTCCCCAAACATTCTTAGAGTCTCTGAAGCTTTTATTTCTTATAAGGAATTAAGACTACATCTGCAGAACAGACTAGACAACCGGCAGATTGAAAATTGAAAGGATGATCTCTTTAGGATTCTAAACTTTAAAACATTAAAGATTTTCCCTTTTAAGAGAAGCTCTGCCAATGAAAACTGAAAGAAAATTTTAAAATGTTCTAGTTTACAATACTTAATTTGGAGCATTCTAGCTCTGGTTTGCAGTACAATTGAAATCAATGACAGAAATCGGCCAAAGACTGAGAGCTAGACCCTTACTCAGGATTTGAGATGTTCCCATATAGGGAGCATCACTGGAGTGCCGCTGTACTGGCAGTCATATAGACGTGGCAACTGATGCTTGTGTGTACAAAGGAGACAGGAGAAGGAAACAAATGACACAGGAGAAGTAATGAGAGAGTCAGTCAGGTTTGCAAAGACATTCTTTGGGGTGTATCACTACTCCCTGCTGCCTCACTTGATCCTTAGACAAAGCCCATGCTAAAATCAGTGGTTCTCAAAGTATGCTCCCTGGAACAGCAGTAGCAGTTGGAAACTCATTAAAAACACAGGTGTTCAGGCCCTATCTAGGTCTACAGAAGCGCTAGGGAACCCAGCAAAGTGTTTTGCAGATCTTTCAGGTGAGTCTGATGATGTATGTGAAAGAACCTAAAATTGCCGTGGCAAATGGGAGTCATTCTACTACTAGAAATCTTGGATGTATGTGGTTTTTAATATGAATGAATTCTATTAATTCAATAATTGATGAAGTTAAAACTAGTTTTTCAGGAATGCTATTAAAAGTTGTATTTATGAATATAGAACCAACATTGCTATGGATGGATATATATATATATCTTGTGGCTATTCTCATGATATCAGGTCAACTTCTGCATCGAAAAACTCAATAAACTTTTTGCATATTTCAACCATGGTCCTTCTCTAAAGCTTGTTTTCAGTGCCTGAAGTTCTACTACTTATGCTCGTTTTTTATTAAAAGACAAAAGAAAAATGTATTTACACTGAGAGCTGAACAGTCTAAATAATTGAGGAAAAACAATACATCATTAAAGGTATATAAATCTTATTAAAAAGGTAATTTTATTAAGAAAGCAAATGAATACTTTCCTGATGAACTGAAGATTAAACTGCATATATTATACATATATTCCTCTTTTTTGAAATGGCTTTATCATTTACCATCCTGCTGGTTGAGCTAAATGATATCTTGACATGTGCTTAGTAACTATTTATATGAGAATTACATGTAACATTTTGAGAATTATATTTTGACACATGATATCTTGTGCTAAAGGAACATAAGGTTTTTAATGCATTTTAATCAAACATGTAAAGTACTCACATCTCTCAGTTTGGTGAGAAACATAATTATAGACCAAGAAATTTGAAAGTGATGAGAAATGTATAGTGGCAACTATAAAAGCTAATAAATAAACAGATTAAACTATAACAATATTGTCTTCTCTGAGAATAAAGGGGCTTAAACATTAAGGACATTTTCTGAATTTTAATGTTGAATATGCTACAGAGAACACCATTTTTAAAAATTCTAATTTCCCTGGGTAAAAATCAGCCAAAAGGATGCACAAATACTTGATTTATCACTTTAAAACCTAAGGATCAATAACACTATTGCTAGGATATTTAAAATTTTTTAAATGGATATGATTTAGTCTAGTTTAATAAAATACAGATGATACATTGCCTCAGCAACATGACTCATTTACCACAGGTTGGGAAAGAAACATTGAGAGTGTATACCTTTTTTATGTGCAGGTGTCTATTTGTCTGGAAAGTTTTATAACCTGTCTTTGATTTCATTTATTCACTTATTTACACTACATTTTGATCCACAAAGCATTTGATACAACTCAACATCCTTATAGAGATTTGACCTAAAAAGAATATTACCATGGCATCCCAGAGATTTTGGTAAGATGTTTCTTCATTTTCATTTGTTTCTAGGATTCTTTTAATTTCTGTTTTGATTTCTGTGTTGACTCAGGAGTTGTTCAGCATCATGCTGTCTAGTGTCCACGTCTTTGTGGGTTTGGGGGGAACTTTGTTGGTGTTGTTATTTATTTTTATTCCACTGTGGTCTAAGAAGCTGCATGGCAGTACTTCAATCTTATGAAATTTGTTTATGCTTGATTTATGGCTGAGGATGTGAACAATCTTAAAATATGTTTCATGTGGTAATGAAAAGAATGTATATTCCTTGGTTGTTAGGTGGAGTATGACCCTGCAATCCCCCTGCTGGGAGTATACCCGAAGGAACTTAAATCACTCTATGAAAAAGATACCTGCACATGCATGTTTATTGCAGCATTATGCACAATAGCAAAACATGGAAACAACCGTGCTGCCCATCGAAAGAGGACTGGCTAAAAAAATGTGGTATGTATACATGATGAAATATTATACAATCATAAAGAAGGATAAAATTATGAACTTTGCAGTAACTTGGATGGACTTAGAGTCTATACTACTGAGTGATCTGTTGCAGAAAGAAAGAACTGAGTACCACATGTTCTCACTCATAAATGGACCTTGAACAATTATCATAAAACTGCAAGAAAGGGATTGGCAGTAGTGGGAAACTGCCACGGGAGGAGGGCACACCTCATCAACAAGGGTACCTGCATAATGGACATTTGTATACCTAACCCTGAATTGGACCCTACATCTTTAAAGTTAAAATTTTTTAAAATATATATTATCATGTTGCATGGTGAAAACACATTGGTTGCCATTAAGATCTTTGAAACACTTTAATGGGTCTTCAAGGGGTTCAACAATCCTTGAATGTGATAAAATTTTATGCTAGTTTTGGTGTCTGTGTATATGTACACTGTTGTGAAGAAGGAAATCTCTGTTTTCTAGATTATCAGAGTGATCTGAGATTCCCAAAAGGTTAAAAAGTTACTAAATTAAGTAATCAAAAATTTAAGTCAGAGGGAATTTAACAAAATAAGAAGATTCTGATCAGTAAAATGCCTAAGCAATATCCAAAGACTTATAGGAATATGAGTCACTGTTACAAAGTTAATAGCAATTGTAGTACCACATAACAGAAACTCTCTAGCTTGTGACTATTCTCATGATAGTACACTGAAACCAGGTCAATTTCTGCATCAAAAAACTCAATACACTTTTTGCATATTTCAACACACGGTCCTTATCCGATGCATGTTTTCAGTGCCTGAAGTTCTTCCACTTATGTTCATTTTTTATTAAAAGACAAAGGAAAAATGTATTTACATTGAACACTGAATGGTATTAATAATTGAAGATAAACAATACACCATTAAAGGTATAGGAATCTGATTACAAAGACAATTTTATTAAAAAATTATTGGATACTTTCCTGGTGAACTGAAGATTAAACTGCAATTTTGAGAGTTGTTAGAAAAACACAAGTAGATCCCTATCATCTCCAAAATACTTTCCTGAAATAGATTTGCATTCCCTTCTGCCTTTTTTTGAAACTTTTTCTACCTTGTTCACTTAAAAAGTGAATTCTTGACCAAGCACAGTGGCTCACACCTATAATCCCAACATTTTGGGAGGCCAAGGCAGGAGGATTGCTTGATTTCAGGAGTTAGAGATCAGCCTAGGCAGCACTGCATGATTTTATCACTACAAAAAATAAAATAAAAAGTTAGCTGGGCATGTATGTCTGTAAACCCAGTTACAAAGGAGGCTGAGGCAGAAAGATCTCCTGAGCCCAGGAGGTTTAGGCTGCAGTGAGCTGTGACTGTGTCACTGC